GATTCAGATGTCACACGGCCACTGTTTTACGGCAGACCCACGAATCAAACCCAGCTCACAGGGTTCTTCGCACCGTTAACTAGCCGCGGTGCCACATTTCATTTCTCAATAAAACATAAATATCTCATTGCGCGAGTTATAGCCATGCTGATTTAGAATAGCCCATAAACATGTTATGATAATATATCGTCAACGAGCCTCCGAACATTAGCGCTGGAAGGCGCGTGGCGCACACTCTATCAACAAAGCTCGTGTGTACGTATGCCGCCTCCCCGTGTCCAACTTATGGCACGAGATTTGCCCCCACTCGTCCACGAATACCTCGCGTCTCAATGACGCCACCCCTCGGCAATTCCGTCACAGTTCCTATGATCACTGTTTCATTGGTTTCATGGCTTTATTTTGGTGATTTCGAAAAGTGTATTGGTTTAGCCATGTTTGTTTGTTGTAGTACAGAGCTAGACTGATGGCCTTAATCTAAGTTGTCTTGTGGTTGTTGTTGGTTGTTCGACTTGCATCCCACTGGGATTTTTGCACACAGCGTTGGTGTGTACGGTGTTTTTTCTGCATTATTTAGCCGTATTTTCTTGGATTTTCTGTTTGCACTCAGTCACATATTCACTTTAAGATTTATTTTTGTTCATGTTTTTGTTTTTTTGTTTGTTGCGGTTGCACCCGATTCAAGAGCCGAATGGCTCACAGGGCTATACCTAATAAATGAACTTGAACTTGAACTAGTGCTTCATTGACGTAACTGCTGCTGTGCGGACCGATTGGGTCACCAACTGTTCTCATGAACCTCTTTCCGTCCCTCAATGTCATTCCCAGCATGCATTTCTCCACGCTACATCACGCCACCTTTTCAGTGTTCGTTCCATAAGTTGTGTCTAATCTTAGTCTTAAGCCTCACCTTACCATATTAATAGAAAGTGTGCCGTATTTGGCCCATCCCCTCTTCAACCATTATATATACGGAGTGATAGCTCTTGTAATCTCTCATTTACTTGATACAGCTGTCGCGGCTGTGACGGTTCCACCTGAAGACGGAAGCTTGTATTGCCTCCGAAACGTCGTGATTTTTATTTTATTTTACTTTTATTAATTTAAATGTTTTACCTACGTGACTTTACCGAAAAAACCTAAGAATATGAATCCTTGCAGTCACGAAAGCTTCTAGAATTAATGACTACCGTGTTTCTGAACCGCGTTTCATAGCAGGCACTACGCTCTGATTAAAATCGTTCTGCGGGCATATTGGTTTATTATATACACATCATATCACTGATTAGATATTCCAGGACGCTTTGCATGCCAACTTTAAACTATCCGGTGTACATCGAGTTGCCACCTGTCCTCGTTTTCCCAGGATGCCCTCTGTTTGAGGCAGCTGATATCCTGGGAAATCTGTAAGTCTTGCCGGGACATAAGAAGCTCCTGTTTTTTGTCATTTGTTTAATAATAATAACCATACAAATAAGTCACTGCTGAAGAAAAATGCGTTTACATGCAGTTCTCCTCGTTCCTGCTATTGTGGGATATTCGTTTACCCAAGATTTATCTCAGTTTCTTTGTTACCCAAAGGTGTCAACGAAAGCGAAGAGGTGTGTGAGTTCTGAGACATTAATCGTGCGAAAACAATGTGTTCCAAAACAATTTGTTCTGTACGATTCATGTCTCAGAAGACCAGAGCACAGCATGGCATGGTATATCGTTGGTATGGTTGTTTCGGTTGTTGGGTGTGTGTTTTGTGTGTGAAATTACTTTGACGTTTATTGCAGAAATTCGAATTTGTATTTGACTGCAAAAATGCAATGATTTGCCTTTGTGAATGTGGCACTTGCATGCTGCCTTTCGACAAAACATTGCAACGACGGACTGTTGCCTGGTTAAATTAAGCACATTAATGTCCTCGCATTTTTATCTTACTGGCGTAATATAAACACAATAGGTCTGATTGCATTAAATAGGGGTATATATGTCCGTCTTTTCAAGCGGTATTAAATAAAGGACATCTGATAGATTTTAATAAATTGTATAACGTTAACAACTGTCAGGATATAAGGTTGCTTAGTTATTAGTATACTGTGCTTTAGGCCTTAAGTGTCCTGGGTTCGATTCCCAGCCATAGCTGGCCTCATTTGTAAGTTATACCAGAACCAGTCCTGGAAACGTCACCAGACGATCAACCCGCACCAACATGTACTCACCATCGTGGTGAATTCTGGTCAAACAACCCAATGATGAATGAAGTACGGGAAGTGGATTGGCAAAGGGCAATACGTTATTAGTATCATGGAATTAACTGTCCTTTCTTTAATATTGTTTTCCTTTAAAACATACGCATATCAATGAACACTCAGAGGAATTGTTTCAGATTTGTTGTAGTATATATGCTCAAAATGTCCCCCCCCCCCCAATATACTGCTATAAAAAATATTTTGTAAAATAATAATTGCGATGCTATGTAAATAAAAACAACAATTTGCTAAACCTTGACCGCAATATTTGGACTTGTTTTCATATAACAATGCATAGATTTCTATTCTCTGCCATTACATACAATGAAAGAAAATCTAGAAAAGAAAAAACAGAGCAATGTAATACAATACACTCTTAGACATTATTGTAAAAAAAAGTCTGTCCCATGTGTTAGTGATTTAAAAAAATATATTTTAGGCAGGAAATGGCAGGAAATGAGTTTTAGAATTTAGATTTTTTTTTCTGGGGGGGGGGATCTCAGACCCCCTGGAGGATTTGGTCCCCCCCAATGTTGACTCCATGGCTACGGCCTTGCTGTACGTATTCATATAATGTTCCTGTAAATATTATATAACTACTCTGTCCATATTCATTCATATTCCTGTACATATTACATAACTCCTCTGTCCACTAATTGCTAAAGGATAAGGTAATACCTTAAATTTCCACCAACCATCAGGACATACTCCAACGTGTGTGCTCTCTTTTTGTGTCTGGCCTCTCTCACCTATGATATATATATATATTTTAAGCCAGTGCTGGTGACCAATGTGTTGAGTTTTTCACGTTAATATATTTCTGTACATATTACACAACCACTCTTTCCACTGCTTGTTAAAGGATAACATTCAACCTTGAACTTGTACCAGACATCAGGATGTGAATCCATACATTTGTAGTGACACAGCGTCGACTGCTGTACAGCAGCAGCAACTGCGGTGGACACTTAGCGCACGTGCCTATACACGGTGTGTGTGCCGGCAGGGCGGAAAAACGGGGGCAAGGGTCACGGTAGACCACGTGGGGAGGCCCCTGGAACCCTCTGGTGGGTTCGAGAAGGGAGGCGCGGCTAGGGCGGAGCCAAGCCGCGCCGAGGGGAATAAAAGCAGCGGAGAGCGAGAGCTTCGGGCTGCCGGTTCTGGGAATGGCCTCGGCTCGTCGTCGACGCTGCCTTCGCCCGATCATTGCGCGGCCGGACAGCGGTTGGCTGTCTCGGTCGACGCCGTCGGTGCAACGCGGACAGGGTCGTGTCTGGGCCGTGCGGCAGCGTGGTCGTGAGAGAGGAGGCCGGAGTTGGTGGTGTGAACGAAAGATAATAAAGAGAGACGGTGCCTCCTGCGACTACCTGGTCTCCGACTGATTGTGTGCGCGAGGCATGCCACACGCACGTACGCGCCTCGAGGAAGGATGAGGACACTACACATTGAAACACATTCCTGCGGAGGGAGCTGGTAGGAACGTTGGGTTGCTCGGTCAATGGCCAGGGTCAACGGCGGCGTGGTGTATTCCGCAAATATGCCCGACTGTGAGGGCGGGTACAAGCCGGCGTGAGTAGGTTAAACGTTGAGTTTTATAAGGGCACCACGGGGTGACCAGCCCCTCCCCACCCAGCCCCTCCCCTCCAAACCCCTCCCCACCCTCCCCTACCCAACCCAGCCCCTCCCCACCCAGCCCCTCCCTGCACGACGGACACAATAATCCCCTGTGGGCTGGTGTAACCAGGAGGTTCCTACCAGTAATACTTCACCTGCTATTAACTATCTGTCTGTCCTGTAATTTATTTTGTTATTTTAAGCCACTGTCAATACGTTTTTCAAGTAAATACTTGTGTGTGCGTATATATACCTGTCTCCCCACATAGCCCATAACTGTCAACCCCTTATTAGTGCCTCCCTTATTACAGACCAATTCAAACCTTACTGGTCACCCCGTGCCCTTTTAAATCCCAACGTTCATCCTACAAAGTCCAATCACAAGGGTGAAACAGAAACAAATAGACACAATTTTCTGTTGATGTTGCCCTATTGAAGCGGCTGTACGCCGCATGGACCTGAAGACTCAATTTCCCTTGTACAAGAATACGGGGTAAACCGTATGGGTTGAGAGGTATGCTATATCTATGTATCTCTATGGGTCTCTTTCTATGGGTCTCTATGGATCTCTATGGGTCTCTGTCTATAATAATACCTGTCAACCCCTTAGCAGTGCCTCCCTTATTGCAGACCAATGGAGACCTTATTGTCCACCCTGTGCCCTTATAAACATCAACGTTCATCCTACGTTCATCCTACAAACTACCATCTCACAAGGGAGAAACACAAACAAATAGACACACATTTTTGTTGTTATTGAAACGGCTGTAAGAGACCATTTCCCCTGTACTGTACAAGAATACGGGGTTAAACCGCATGGGTTGACAGCTATGCAGAACAGCTACCAACATCCTTCCATAACAATAGATGTCCCCACGTGTCCCCACCCCCTTTGTTATTCGATACCAATTTGATGACAATGCATTCCAAGTGGCGGGATCCGGTTCCAACCCCAGCGGCCCCCACCCGCCCCGGGAGTCTTCACCTAGGAACCGGATCCCTGCAATCAACAACCAAGCGGTTACATGGTGAGGTTGCCGTTCGCATTAAGCGCGGTTTTTGTAAAATGTGTATTATTGTGATCGTTTCAACGCGTTAGACAAATGCGCGTGCAGCGTTTACTGTAATGCGTACGTGTTGGCGGAGACGTTTGCTGGTTTTAATCTTTTTAAATCTTGAGATTAATATTTTTTTTAGTGTCGCGCGCCGCTGCGGAAGGGGGGGGGGTCTGTTGCTTGGAAATATTCGCCGGAAGCCTTTTGCGGTTAGAATTGTAGGCCGCGGCGGCTTGAAGCTACGGGGCTCAAATAAACTAGAGAATCATACTCTTTGGTTCTTTCGGTAAAGTCATGTAGGTAGAATCGTGTTATAATCGCGATATTGCTCAAATGCACGAGCGAAAAGGAACTATGACCGGCAGATACATATTATTGTAAGGTTTGGACATAAGGTGATAATATATTTATTTAAGTACGTGCACTATACACGGATTTCGTATAAAGTTAACACCCGTTTAGATTGCTAAGATTTGTATATTCGGGATTTCTTTGGGTTGTATAATTGTTTCACAAAAAGGGTATGCGCTTGTAAAAAAAAAGGGTATTTCGTTAAGCAAGTTGCTTCTGCCACGGTGAGAGGCGCGTGTGAAAGATGAATTATGCAGCACTGTGCAGTCGGACAGTACTGCCGTACAGATGCATTTCCAAGACACTCGTCGGCCTGGTGAAGTCGTCAATTAATTTCCACAACCCTCGCGAAGAGAGAGAGGGGGAGCCTCTCATCCAGCAGTGGATTGACGAAAGGGCTGAACGTGTGCATGTGTTTCTAATGCGGTAGTAGGCGTATCGACACGTGTGAGTCGTGCTCAGTCATGCATTTCCTCGACAGAACACACGTGGCTTTTTTTTATTAATCTAGGATTATGACTTCCCATTCGTGATGTAAAAAGGGAAAGCGCGTGCCCTGAATGACTCGCTGTGTGTTTTAGTGATTACAGCGCACGGTTATCAACATCCTTGCAAGTGCTTCAAGGCAGCTTTCGGATATTCGTGAGTGTATTTGTTGCAGTGCAGTATTCTGATGTGTACTGCATCACGAATCATTTTAGCATGTGCTGTAATTACTGTGCAGTACTGTACTTCATCCAGCTCAGCGACATGTGGCTGAATGCAATTCATGGTCAACCTCCTTGTGGATGGTTGACAAAGATCCCCTGCATAGCCTCTGACAGACTGTTGGGGCAAGTGCTGTTGTGCACCTATGAATGGACAGATATTGCGATTTGATTTGCGATTAAATTTGTTCAAGTCAAGCTTCAGTTCAATAGATTTATAACATGTGATGGAGCATAACCACATGATACCATCAACATATGAACTGCTCTATATATTCTAATGCAAGGATGAGAACTTAAAAGATATGAATGGCTTCCAACATGTATTTATTAAAATGTTTTAATTGAAATAGAACAATCAAACATAACACAATTGTTAAATGAAAAACATTTATAATGAAAAAATAAAACAATTACAATAAGCAAGTAATAGGACTTTTCAAAAAGCAAAAAATCGTAGCCTTTGCGATTTGCTAATCGCATTGTTTCAAAACGCGATTTCGATTTGAAATCGATTAATCGTTCAGCCCTAGTGGATGGTCAACACGACGCCCGGCCGGCTTTATCTCCCCAGTGGAAATGTGTACACACCGCACCGTGTACTTGTTTGAGGCAGAGTCGATCTAGGGGAGGCCCAGGACCGGTTCATATAATCGCCTACTGGTGTTGGCCGTGAGCGGGAATCGAACTCGGGTCGCTGGGTTTGTAGCGCAGCGCGCTAACCGCTACACTACCGCTTCCCACATTACATTTCTACGCGAATGAATCGGAGATTATTCTATCCAATATTTCATTATGTTTAAGTATTTACAATGATATTCTAAGCAGTTTATAACTTTAGGGTAACCCTACCTTATAGGAGAAACAAGTCGTATCTCAAGAACCGTAATATTTGGAGGCGCGCATTATAAAATGTAGTTCATTTCAGATTTTTCGAGTTATTCGCATAGACTCTATCATGTTGATGTGGTATAATGGTTAGCCCACTGGACTTGTGATCCACAAAGGTCGACCGGTTTGATACGATCTCCCAGCGTGGCAGTTGAAGCAATGGTTATGTTTCTTAGCATAAATGGAAACGCCACTTTTAGTTGATGGACAGGTTCGGTAAAATGCGGGCAAATCCCACCTCTTCCAGGATGTCTGACCAGCATGGAAGAAGAGACCAAGCATCCACTCGAGTTCTCTTGAGCAACCTGTAGTCTCGGAGGCCCACTCGCTCGCAATGGCACGGTGGCTACGTACTGTGCGAAATAAGTTCAGCGTAAATACATACAAACCAATTGCAGGACTGTACATTTTACTAGTGCCAAGTGTAGACAACCATATACAGTAGATGCAAATTTAGCTTCCTAATCTTCTAGGTCATCGGTAGAATTAAATTCGTCAACTATGCCATATCATTTACATGTCCGCGCACATTCGCTGATTTTGGTGGGTGTATTCTTGTGACAGACAACCGAGCATTATAACCAGGTGAGAGCCCAATGAGACCAACATATTTCAAGGGATACTAAAACAAGTACAGCATCAGTGATTGTGTACACATTCAATAAAACGCAACATAATCCAATAATTACTTAACAATTCCATTTAATGCCAAGGTACAGCTTAAAATATTTATTCACAAGGATCAGATTTGAATAAAATATATACAATGTGTACTTTATGAATTGATATTACAGTAAATTCGTACTAAACAGCTCAAATGTGTACATTATATAGTTTTTTTGAAGAATCAGTCTGTATGGTACCCAAGAGTTTAAACATACATACATGCGTGCGTGTGTGTAAAGTCCTTTTGTTAATCCACTACTGGATGAGGGCCTCCCACACCGTGAGTGTTGTGGAGTTGTTTGACCATACTTCACCACGCTTGTCTGTGTGGATTGGTGAAGGCGAGGAGCAAAGAAGTGGGCGTATAGTGCAGTACAACACATTATTTTCCTGCAATGCCCCCTACTGCCTAACAAGTATTCCTTCCATAACCAATAACGTCTTTTATTCATGGTCGTCGTTCATCCAAGCACTATCTTGGCCCAACCCTGCGTACCTTCCGAGATGTGATGAGATTGCGTGAATTATGGTTATGAAGTAAAGCTAAAAAAGTATAAAGGTGCAGCCCTGCAATTCCTTTCTCATGCCACGGCTAATGGAATGGCCCCCACTAGAGGATAGTTGGCCTACTCATCCATACTGGCCAGACGTTTTGTAAGAGGTGGGAGGAGTACCCATAGGCTATTAAGTATGAGTATTAAATGTATTTTGCAGGGATCGACAAGGCTGGCCGAGTGCACTGCGCTTCTGGGATGAGGAGTTGGTCTGTGCTGCTGCTGTGGGAGTGAAGAAGCTGCTCCCTTTGCCTGCACAACCTGCCCCATGATGACCTTCCAGAACCGCTTTGTTCTGCTGCTGGGTCTCGCCGCCCTGTTGGCTGTCATCAGCCTGAGCCTGCAATTCTGTGAGCATCGTCATTTTTCACATTGCATTGTATCGCAGTCGGTGTCAAGGCACAAGGTGAAATATTAATTAGTCGGTTACAGAACCGTCTAGAATAAAATAAAAAAATGTGTCATGTGCCTGGTGTTTCTATTGTTGGCCTTTCTTACCACTGTGTTGGTTAATGCGGTCGTGTTGTTGTATAGCTGTCCGAAGTGTTTTCGGGTTGGACCGCGTGTTGTTCGGGGTGACTGTTAGCTCCCACCACTTGCAGTGAAACGTCGGTCATCGTGCCGAATTGCCCCCGGCACAACCCAAAAATGCATCTTGGAGATTTCTTACTGCAACCACAAGACTGTATTCTTCTTGTCGTTTAACATATTCCTCAATAACACTGCAGTTAAAGGAAAATATAATAGGTGCCATTTCTGGCAATGGTCCTTCACAGTAAAATAACTTGAAATAGATAATGTGCCATGAAGAAGAGCCATTGGCCAAAACATTGCCCGTTATATATTTTTCCTTTTAAGGTTGTGTCATTGACAAATGTGTTGAGCTCTTTGTTGTTTGTGCCCGTGCACCACTGCCAATGCAGTTTCACCAAATAATTTGTTTCACGTTATTTAGACAAATGAACACTTTGTCTGTATACTGGGAATTACGTCAAGCTTTGAGGACATCTGAATTTAATTGAACACGACCACACTTTTTTATTATTCTGTGCAGTCGTTGGAGATCATCAATGTGGGGGGAAATGGTGGTTTGGGTTGGATGGGATGCAGGTTAATTTTGATTGTCGCACCCTCTCGTACAATATTGAATATTTAAATGTTCAAACATTTTCTAATGAAGTTGGAACTGACCCCATACACTGCATACAATCCGTGCTCTTTAGTCACCCACACACGCCGCAGTATATTGACCTTTTAAGGTGCAGTCAGTAAATCTAGTCTTAATAGTATAGCTGTGCTGCAGAGAAAGGCTGTCACTGTGTTGATTTCCTTGGGGCCAATTGCTACTCTCAAACATTTTCCAGTGGCTACATTGCCTCTGCACCTGTGCATTTTTCTGCAAGCATACCACACCCTGAATTTAGTAGTACCTAAGGGTGGGAACACAGCTGGTACATTTTCACTGCGGATCATTCCATTTAAGAAAAGGCTGAAACGAACATTTGGCAGAGTGCACACATTCCGGTAAATGTATGCAGTGTGTAGGATTTCTGGGCTCTGTTGCTCTTTCTATTTCATTTTTAGATTCTTAATGGGTTTTTTTTCAGTATGACCAAAGTGAGCCTTTATTGGATTTATTTTCACTTGGAAATCAATCCAGTCCTTGGCTAATTAGTACTCAGAATGCATATTCACACAGCTGCACTTGTGATTCATGGTGGGTGACGCATTTACAACCAGGATTACGTTTGCATGAATGAAAAATGGTATGGTTCTTACATATGAGAACCCAAGAGCTCTTTACTCATTCCATCTCTCAGATTGCCCATGCTACCCTAAAATAATAGTCAAAGCCCACCCATGTTGCTACATTACAGCTAATAGCAGTTGGTTGCCATAGAATTCGTGTCATATGCCATTGGCTAGTTTCTTGTTGTGAGCTTGCCTTGAATAAAACATTGATGATTCATAGTAAAATTGAGTGCCTTAAATAGGATATGTAATTTTTCTTTGTTTTCTGTTTTTTTTCATGCTATCTGTTTTGGACAGTTTATGCTAGATTAGATATAAAATGTAGGCCTACTGTTGGATTTGTATTCTATATTTACACCGTTGTATTGAGGTTAAACTAATTGTGTTCGTACGGTTAATTACCTGTGAGCATGTTATTTTTGCGTGTTGTTTTTAATCACGACTCGGAGCAACTTAATGAATGATAATTTTTGCTACCACAACACACAATAATGAGTGACAGGACTTGTGAAAGGGGCAACGCAGGTGTCGAAATCATCACAGCTGTATTTTCTTTTCTTTCCCAGTTCGGCTCATTCCCCTGCCCGTGGGGTTCTACGGGGAAGAAGAGGCCAAGCCTCGCAAGCGGGTGCTGATAGATGGCTTGCTCAAAGCTCCGCAGGCTCTCGACCCCATCACGGAGTCTGTGTACTACTGTAACCGGCCCAACGGCAGCGTGCAGGGACTTGAGGGTACGATCCTGTCTCTGCGCAGGAGTAATTCTATACTGCTGCATAGGTTTTCGCGATTGTGTTTTACAGCCGTCCGATGCGTTTTGAGGTTGTACCACGTGTTGTTCACCACGATGTCCGACATCTCCTCTCCATGTGCCAGGAGCTTCTGTGGAGCTTGTTGAAGAGCTGATGTGTTTCTTTTTATTGTACACGCAGTACAACCCGCAAACACATCACAGAGCTCATCCATAACTCTGCTTGGTCATGAAAAAAACTGGAAACTGAGCTGTTGCATTTTGTTTAGTGTTTACGATCACAATGCAGATGGTTGTGTTGTAAGTAATGTAAATTTACCACTAATACTCCATGTGCTAAATTCAAATCCATACCTTATGGTGGTTATAAAAATATTAATTGACTGTTATTCTATTCACAGATTAATTCATTTAATGGTTTTCAGTGCAGAGTTTTTACGTGCAAAAAGAAAAATGTTACAGATACACAAACCAGGTATTAAAATAATTTAGTACAAAACCTCATTGAGCCCTGCAGTGGATAATTTTGTTCAATAAAACACAGTTGCTCTGTATCTCCAAATAAATATAAAATGTGTTTCAGTCCCACTGGCTTTCCAGACCACTTCTTTTTACCTTTTATTTAGGATTTTTTTTTACCTGGATAATCCCTTGATGCAACAGCTCATTTGAAAGGGTGTCCAGTGTGTCAAGTGACATTGATCCTAATCAGCACCTGCCCAAGCATGTGCAAATGTTGGGACTGAGTATGGCCTCCGGGGGGGCCACCGCCATAGCCAGGCACACCAAACAAACACTGCTGCTGGTTTACCAGATGCCGTCGGCAAGTGCTCCCTTCCCCCCACACCGCTTGACAAAGAGTGCGTATTGAGTTTTTTTTACATGTCTTGTTTTTTGTGCTAACGACCCATGTGGTGTGGATCAGGGCCATTTGTCAATGGTATATCTGGCAATGCAGCGCTGTTTGTTTGATCCACCTGCCTCTGCTGGTAGACTCCAGAAGGGTGAAGCCAGTCCACAGTTTCTGCGGTTAGGCAGGTGCTGCTGTTTAGCATGCGTGTGGAAGGCTGGTCAGTCCATGGACAAATACATTTTGTAATTAAAATTGCTATTGTTGTGTTCTCTTTTTAGGTCACGCCCCTGTAGGATTCAAACTGGAAGCAGCTCACATCATGATACGACACGGAGACCGCTACCCACTCTACGCCATCCCTAACGCAGCCGCCTTAAACATCGACTGCAATATCAGGACTGATAGGTGCCAATGAAAAGTTGCATAAGTGATTAAGCCGTGCGATAACAGAACCTATTCACACCCTACTTTATAGTACAATTTGTACGGCAAAGCTTCACCATCCACGTATTCCATGGATGGGTCCTTGTGGCATTATGGCATCACGTTAGCACATTGTCATTGTGAAATCATGACAGAAAGCGGGAGGCAGTTGTTCAGCCTTTGCATTGGTTGTCAGTGTAAAGTATAATAACTACACACACTCATTGAGCACAAGTGGCGATGCTAATTTTGATATTTTGCAATACATCACCGTGCTGCGGCTCTTCAAGTGCATGCATGCTGCAGGCATCGTTTTGCTTAATTGGTTTTCTTGCAGTGAACATAAATTGTGTAATCCTAATATCACATGCATTTGTAAATCCGCTCTATTTTTATGAAAAAGAATATGGACAAGGAGAGCCCTTTGACAATTCACTGCTGGATTGAAGTCTCGCTACAGTGTGCAGGTCATCGGGGTTATTTGGCCATATTTTACTGACTTGGTTAGTACAGATTAGTGAAGGTGGGGATTATAGATTCAGGAGCATAGATATATAGTACAAAAATTCATTTTTTCTGAACTACCGTCTGCTGCTTGTAATGTGTAAAATGTCACGTCATGAAAAAAACGGCCACCTTGCAATATACATTTGTGAGTTTGTTATGTAGTGAAGGAAATCATTACCAACAGGTGGGGTTTGTAGTGATTAATCGATTATGTTTCATTATTAGACTGATGAAATATCCATCATATTATGCGTGTGAGAATTATTCTTTACAAACCACGCAGATTATATGAAAAGGGTACATGTAGGTTATTGGAACAAAAAAGACAGCAAATAACAAAATAGAGTGTAAACGTAAGAGAAAAAAATGTTCTTAAATTAATTTGCAACTCAAATCAACAATTCAGATAATTGTGCCAATTTTTCAATGCCGACTAATAACTTCCATAGGCAATGCCCCTATGAAATATATAGAGGGCTTTTAAAATAAAAAAATATGTATATACATTTTTTTGTGTTCTTGTAGATATTGGATCATTTATTGCGCAGTTTATGTTTGTCACCTGAAATATAAATGAAAAGGGATTGCGGACTCCAATAATGGCCAGTTAAATGCCACCAGAGATTCACAAAGGATAAATAATTTGCCAAAGGAAAAGTTAAAACCATACAAATAACACAACGAAAAAATATTTTCACCTTGTAAAAAGCCGTTTAATGCTTTTTGTTCTAAGTACCACAGCCTCATTCATTTCAATATTACACCGAAACGCAATCGTCCCGCTCCACCCAATCGATTCGCATGATCCCTGATGGTTGTATTTCCTCTCCACGTTCTGCAGGGCACCGTTTCATCGGGCGCTGGAGGGATTTGTGGCTCACATGGCACAAGCCCGTGAAGGCCGCTTTGACGGCCCTTTGGCGGGGTTCCCACTACTGCCCAGCCACCCCCGCTGTGAGATGGGTCAACTCACACAGACAGGTCCGTCGCACTTATCACATCCTCACCCATTGCACTGGTCAACACACTTTTACTGGCATAAGGTATTCCAACGGTTTTAATGTAATTTTGGGGTGCTGATTCCAAATATGGCATCAGTTTTTGTCTATCACATCAGGTTTTTGAGATATCAAATATTGCATTTTCAATAAAAACTGCAAAAGAAAAATATTAAATAAATGTGGATATCTATATAAAACGATATTATAAACACACTATCCTAAAAATACAGCACCATATTTTAACACTAAAGCAGTCACTGACTCGCAACAACTTGCAATCATAAGTGACAGAGTTAATTTCGGGTAAAATCAATGAAAATGGGGTATGCCGATAGCATAAAATGAGATGTGATAGAGCAAATTTGAGATCAGATTTGGAATCAGCACCCTGAAATTAGTCTAAAACAGCTGCAAAAGTCCAGGCCAGAATTTTTTTTTTGTTGACCAGTGTTGTGGGCCGAGCTGGAGGGAATCCATGGACTATATATGTAATCGACTTTTCATCTCAAATTATATTTGGCCAATGTGTGCTTCTCCCATTTGCAGCCCTTAGCCCATCGTTTGAAATTACACAATCTCATGGCAGGGCGCAAGGATTAACCGTAAGAAAACAATGGAGAAAAATAATGCACATGCTTGCATCGATCGTGTAACATTTACCAAAATGTGTTTATCCTCACAAGTATTTAATTCGCGATAATGTCATACCGAATGACGTCATCGGGAGGGGAGGTAAATGGGAAGTGCTGAGGCCTCCACCTGCAAAGTGTTGTTGGCACTGTGAATCCTTTTACTGCTGGTGCTGTGTGTCCGGGTTTTGACCGATTCTTATATCACTTTTGCCTATTTTTCCAAAGGGGGATCTTTAACAGCAACACCACTTTATACGAGGGTTTGTTGATATTGGATAATTTTAGTTTTAGGCAGACGAACAGAGCGAATGCATCATTCACGTTTTCAGCCTCAGTTGGAAGCCTTGAATACATGTTGGCTTCCCACTAATTGGTAATCAATTATACCTACTCCAAAGGAATGAAAGACTGAGTAAGCATTTCAAATTACAACCTTCCATTTGTGGAGCAGTGCCTATCTTCCTATCGTGAGCTCTCACTACGGCCTATGCTTGGACAAAACAACACGGCAACGCGATGATACTGATCGATTCCCGTTCTCGCAGGTGTGGTTCAGCACCTGATGATTGGCCAGCACCTGCGGCAGACCTACTCAGACCTTCACGGCCTGCTCCTCAAACACGAGTCCGAGGCGGAGCGCGTGCGCGCCGCGTATGTCGAATCGACGGGCCGCGCGCGCACTCTGCAGAGCGCGCTGGCCCTGCTATACGGCCTGCGGCCCGCATTCGACTGGTCGCGCCTGCGCGTGCACCACCAGCCCTCGGCCTCCTACTGCTACGCGGCGTGCGAGTGCCCCGCCCGCAGCGCCTTCCAGGAGCTGGACCAGCGGCGGCAGTCTCGAGCGCGATCTCGCGACCCGCAGCTGGCGCGCGCCTTCCGGGACATGGCCTCGGCGCTGGACGTGCCGCCGGCCAGGCTGCGCGCCGCGGTACCCGTCGACCCGCTGCTGGCCCACTTCTGCCACGGCGTACCGTTCCCCTGCGCATCGTCGTCGTCCTCGCCCTCGCCGCTGCTCCCGCCCCAACGTTCCGGCTGCGTGTCCGAGCAGCACTTCCGCACGCTGCGCGCCCAGCAGTTGGTGGACGAGAAGGAGCGCAAGGAGGCCGGGCTCTTCCGGCGCTTCGCGCTGCTCGTGATGCACCCGTTCCTGAACCGCACGGCGCAGCGGCTCGGGGCGGTGGCTGCCGGCAAGCCCGCGGAGAGACTCGCCCTCTACTCGGCGCACGACGTCACGCTGGAGCCCGCCCTGAGCGCGCTCGGACTCGCCGGCGCTCGATTCCCTCGGTACGCGGCGCGCCTCGTGTTCGAGCTCTGGAGGAAAGAAGACAAGGGCAGGTTGGCCGGCGGAGCGGATGTCGGAGGGCACTTCATCCGCGTGCTGTACAACGGCGAGGATGTCACCTTCAAGACCGCATTCTGCCAGAATCACGATTGGAAGCGCGGCACCGGATCGCTGCTGTGCCCGTTTCAGAAATTCCTCGACTTTGTGTCAAGAGATATGTTTGCGCCCTTCAATAGCACAAGCTATTATGAAGCCTGCCACCACATTCCACAGCCAGATGCCGACATGTAGTCCAATTACTATTGAGAGCAAGCATTCCTCGCTGAATGTTGGTTTACCCAGTAATTTGTCAGGTATATTGTGCATTGGATGTGTAAATGAGATGTGGTAATTTTGTCCTGTTCAATATAAACGTCCACATTGTAAGTGAAAAAAAAATGGTTTATTTTAATAGTTTTGCCTAAAAAAATGGATCAGAATTATCCAGTAAGGTATAAACTGATTGTTATTATTATCAAAAAGACCACCCATGTGACATACCTTCCCAACTTGATTATTAAGTCTTGTGTTAGCTGGAAAAAAAGTCCACATGCCACTGATATTTATAACGTGGCTTTAAATCTCCTAAACCATCTTTAAAAATAATACACAGTTAAAAATCACATAATATGCCCATAAACATCCAGTGTTAATGTGTAGTGTACAAACAGTAAATCCAGCGTGGTATTGGTAATGTGCTCATTAGTGCAGCAAAAGCGAATTTATTACCAGTGTCTTTCCTTTACTGGTGTCTAGAGTGTTTACCGTTTATATATTTGCATTTTAAAAGGCATCGATGTCATTATTTGTTTAAACCAACAAAACATCTACCATTAATAATAACAGGTTTACTGTAAAAGAAATTCAAGCCATCCTTTCAATATTCTTAACCAACTTATAACAAGCATGCGACAACTATGGAATCTTATTCATTGAATTCAACCATGGGCTCTTAATAACTTTATCAACCTCTTGTATTACTGTGCAGCAGGTAATGCAATGAGTATTTGCTTCATAGTGACATCTTCCAATTTCGGATCAGCATAACTGTTTAAATGTGAAATCATTTTTTGAACTCTTAAGCCTCGTAAAGGGTGTGTGTAACATTTTTGCGTGCAGGTTTTTTTCTTGTTTAAAGGAATGTTATATATTTGACTATGTGTTTCAAAGGTCACATTTTGGTATGTTATATGGCATAGTCTACAGTCAAACACAAAGAAAATGGGTAGGGCTCTTTGATCAGGTTGTATACAATAATGCTTGCCCAGATAAGGCTTGCACAACCACTTGTGAATTCTTGTACGCGATGCAGAACATTCCACAGTATTTTTGGGGAATATAGCTTGGGCCATTGTTTCACGAAAACACAATCAGCTTTGTCCGAGTTGATTGTGTTGCAAGCATACTTGGCAAAGGAGGGACATGGGCAGCTGTAGTTGAGAACGGGTAAAACTGGAAACATTGAGCCTCGCCGCTTACTAATGAATCGGAGCACGCAAATACCCGAAAGGTACACGAAGCGAATCGATTAGCTGTCCTGCTCGATGATACATGGCTCTTCACAAGACACCAGTCAAACCTTTTTGGTTGAAGCCTCGAAACTTGTGCGGTCAAGGAGACTCGCACATACTGATACGTAGTTGGACTCCGGCCAATTGCGAGATTCCTTGGAGCCCAACATTGGTTGGCTTGCACTGTTGTGTGAGGTTTACAGTTCACAGTTTTATAGTTTACATTCGTTTTCAAAAGTAATGAAAGTAACATTCTTGAGTGCTGCGTATTCAAGGTGCCCCATGCACATGAACAGATTAAGTGGTGCTTCGAGTGGCTGCGTCAACATTACATTTTTACTTAAAATAGTAAATTAACATACAAGATGCCTCCTTCCCATATGTGCCCCTCTACGTAAAAAAATATATAAAAGTATTATTTTCACATCCTATCAGCCAGATGGCCTTCTCAGTGCATTTGGTTGAACACAGGCAAACTAAGTACCGATTTTGACGTTCAGTGTCTTAGCAGTGAGGCTTGCTTGACCCAATGCAGGTGAACTGACAGGTGTTTAAAGGCAAGGAACCTTTCTGTTAGAAATAGGTCCTGATTCCATACAAAATTATACAATACGTAGCAAAATTATAATCATCAATAGCATCTTAGAGAATGTAAGAAAATCATAAAGGGGACATTACGCCTCCTTCCCAGAGCTTTCCTTCCACGTGTAAAACAAAAGTATTTTTACACATCCCATTGGGCAGCGTGCCTTCTGGGAGTGCATAATTTTATACCGATAAAAGGACGTAACATCGTTGCAAAAACTTGTTTTTTTCTGCTAAAGCTTTGACAGGTATTTTTGCTAAAGTAAAGTGACGAATCGTAATATTTACACAGTGTACTCATCAGCACTGGATTTTGTGCACTTAGAAACCCCGTGCTTTTGTAAAAATTGTGAATGGATTAAATATATATTGATTAGACATAGACGAATGATCGAGTAGAATTTTCACCAGTTTTTTTCTTTTTACATATAATCAAATGCTTTAGTTCTTGGTGTTTTTTTTGAAAGACAGTGAATTATTTAAAACCACTTAATGTAAAACTAGCATTAAGTATGTTCTTTAATCTTCGTGATTGACATGAGCAGAGTGATATATACTTGTTTTATTGGATCCTAATATTTTGCTACTGGTGTTGTAAAAAGATAGTTTAATATTTAGCGAGTTAATGGTATGACTTTTGAAAAGCTGCTCGTCTAACCAGAGCTGTACATTTTAACAAGCGTGGACTGACAGTCAGGGTACCATAGGTGTAATGCAAGTGAATGATGCATTCCTTTAATTTTTCGTTTAAGTTTTGAAAGTGCAATATTTTTTTACACTTCAAATTGAATCCAACAATTGCATTTCATTTGTGTATCGTTGGCACCACTGGGCCAGTGGCGGCTATGCACGTTGCCTGTAATCCAACACTGGAAGCGAGGGTTGGTGGATTACGCAGATGTTGGAAGCTGCCTATCTGGGCTATGTTTCCCCCTCGCATGTGTTGGTTTTCTCTGGGTGCTCGGGTTACCTGCCGTAGGTAAATACTCAGTAATTGGCTGATAACACCTTAACCCTTTCCCGTTCCATGACATACGTGCCCGTCTTACCGATTCTGTACGGAGCCCGAAGCGATTCTGAACGGAATCGGAAGGAAAAGGCCATTCGGGAGGGCGCGTGGCACAGTTTGGCGCCAGCCGTCGTAAAGTGCGGTTGTGTCGCAAACAGTTCTCTGCGGTGAGTAGAGTACAATGTCGTTCCAAACAGCAGTGCTGTGCCTCTAGATACAATGAACGCTAACCGCTCGCGCATTCCGAGATTCAGCCGTGAACGGGACGCACCATGCAACCTGCAGTCGTCTGGGAATGGGAAAGGGTTTAAATATAGACTACCGCAGAGCTTGGGCAATTGTTGGTACTGGCTTATCACCTGGTTTACCACCTGGCTGCCTTTCCCGCTTGTCTGGTTTCTCTCTTCAAGGGTGAACAAAAACTGTCTACGTTGCAAGTTTAAACTATTATTATGATCATACTTCATAACCTAAAGGAATCAACTTTGTTCTTTACGTTCCTAACTTCATCTGCATGTCATAAGTTAAGCGCCTGTGTAAGTTAAATATGTGATATGCATTGTCTCGTAAATTACAAGACTATGTATATATTTATGTGGTTCATAATTTGTTTTGATAGCATTGTTGATTTTTTTATAGGCTTGGTTCATCGCATCTGTTAGGATTCTGCAAGGTTCTGGGAAACTTGAATTGATGCTGAGAAAGAAACCTGCTAAGAAGCTGAGTAACGAAGATTTATACCATAACACAATTCTAAGCGCATTATGTGTTGAGGAAACGTGTGCAATTTATTTTGTCTTTAAATATTCTAAGGTATTATAGCTACAAAAAGTGAGCTATTTTGGAAGAATATTGTTTATTTTGTTAATGATTGCTTTTTATCGTAATCCATTGTATTTATTTTATTCACAACCATCGGTGAGCTATTTGCCTTCATAATGCAACCAACTTGTCCATCTTGTGCACAACTGAGAAATATGTAGAGCTACGTTAGGAAGTGGCTGACATGTTCGCTTTTACAGTCTACTGCATATTGGTATACCCCCATGCAGGAATATTAATACTTTAGTATTTGGAGCTATGCCCAACAACATTTAGCCGTTCCTCATATCAACAGTGTGCTATGGAGTCGACGTGTGATTATTAAAGGCTTAAACCGGCTGTAACTGTCAAATTGACACATTATGACGTGCAATATCTGTAATTATTGAAGCTTCTATTTACGGATTAACCAACCGTCGTTTTTTTTGTATTAATATTGACTTCATCTCTGTTTATTTCATGGCTGATGAGGTGTATCGACCACAATGCTTAACCATTCCCTGTTTTTCTTTCTCAGCATCAATTTAATGACCTTGATTTTTTTTTATCACAAATAATGAAATGAGCAGACATTTCACATTGTGTTTTATGTTTTCTTTCTAAGTGCAGTAAATATGATCTATTTTGAAACTGCACATGTAGGACTACACATGCAGTGTGAAAAAAATACAGCGCTATTTTCTTGCCATGGGTTTCATTCTGATATGTATTTAAAAACGAACAGTATACATAGCTCTTCTTTCATCGTGCCAACGTCCAGCAAATGTTGGACCTGTAATTTTCAGCAGTGCTATTGAGACACCAATAGTAATGTTTTGTTTTTTACAAATGATAGAAGAAAGTTATATTTTACATACCTTCCGGGTTTTTGCTGTATTTCCTATGATGTAATTGATTGTTAATAATTACAACATTGATCTGTCTGGCATAGTAATGTAATCGACATTGATTTACCAATAACCACTTAATGTAGCTTGATATTGGAAGACTTTAACCGATGGTACGTTTGCCACTTTCAACTACTTTTTTCTCTTTCATTATTGTAATTGCAATGGTGACATTTGTGAGTGGTGCTGTTTATGATGGTAATTCCGTGTTATGAACATGCATATTTTGTCAACAAATAGTAACAGCAAACCAGCCTTTTGCAGACAACCGAAGTAGGTGTCTGCATAGGTAAAGTACTTTGAGGATCGATCCCAATGTGTACATCTATTTGGACCAATAGTGAAATGTTTGATTGCTGTGTTGACTTGACTACTGTAATGAGTTCACAAATCACGGTGTCTCATCCTCCCTTATCCAGAACCTTGAGGGTGGCTCATTCAAGGCAACCTGCCATCGTATTTGCTGCGGAGGTTTTCACGGTTGTGCTGTATAGTTTTCCATTGTATTTTTTTAGTTGTACCATGTGTTGTGTGGCAAGGTGGCCCGATGTTTCACCACCTGCTGGAATTTTTTTCCGATTCAGGCCCTGGGAGCGAAACGTCTGACATAATGCCGAACAATGCATGGCGTGACCCAAAATATGTCGGAGAGCTAGACTGTACAAGTGCTTGCTTGGAAGGGTGTACAGTAGACTTTTGGAGGCCCACATTTATCCAGCAACTGTGGTTTCTTAAACATACACATGATCTGACTGTCTACCATAAGGTCACTGAAGAAAATACACGGCTGGTGGCTATATTTGCTAACATTGGAGGTGTGGAGTGGGGAGCATTGAAAGATGTATTGTGAGGACATTCCAGTATTGCTCTTGTAATTCACCATTCCTAGCACCGATACATTGTGTTGATTAATCGCTGCTTGGTTTGCTGTGGCTCTCGTCTGTATGCATTGTGAAAATGTAGCAATAGAAAACGTGGTTCCCCACAACTCATGCAATAAAAGCCATTGCTTTCGGGCGCCTTCCGAGTGTGATTCGTGCATGTGGCAGTGCTGCCACCAGGTGGATGCGATTGGTAACCAAAATGCAACGTGTCCCGTTGAAGCACAACGCAGTATTCTTTCCTTCAGAATATTCTCTTCGTCCAATTGTGTGGTAATTTCAATTTTTTAAAAACAATTATGATGTATTACCCGGCCGCGGTGTCTACTTTATAATTCACCACAAGCTCTTTTGTTGGCAAACTTGTGTACATGGTCACCCCTTTGGTAATTCCACAGTTGGATGAGGGCCTCCCTGCACCGTGTGGATTGTGGGAATTTTTTTGACCATACTTCATCATTTTGGTCAGTGCGGAGTGATGAAGGAGGAGGGTATGTATAGAAGTTTGAGAACGGTACAATCACAATTTTTTCTCCACAGCCCACAACTGACAATATAGCTCTGCTGGTCAGCACAAAATGAATACAGGGACTCCTCTGCTTACGAACGAGTTAGGTTCCAGAGGTCTGTTCCTAAATAGATTTGTTCGTAAATCCAACTTTATTCCTATTGATTCCAAACATGTACGGCATGCACACTAAACACAGGAATGTAGACTGCCACTGGTTCTTCATGATTTGCAGATGTAGATGCAACCACCGCCATCTATTGCGTGGCGGTTGAACTTACGACTCTCGATCCGAACAGGCAACTGGACATACGGACAGGTTTGTTCGTATCTCTGAAAGTTCGTAGGTCGAGTGTTCGTAAGTAGAGCAAGGTTAGATCTTCGTGGGGTTTTATCCATTTTATTTCACTTTTGAGTTGCATTTTTTTCGCACGGGTCGTTGGCAATAAGACAGACACATCAATGAGCTCTCACCAGGATTATATGCAGGGCATTACCAACACCCCCGTTATAAAATAGATGTTCTGTACTTTATATAGGCTGTTGTAGTTTACAGATATGGCAGTCGTATTCAGAATTCCTCATTGTAATTTCACACCACTTGCTATGTCTAAACTGACCCACTGATGGGCACTCCTGGATTGCTGATGTTTACACACCGTAACCAGGTACTCATTTAAAGCCGAGTCCACCTCGTGGAGGATCCAGGACCCTTTCAAATACTCAGTCACTAAATATTGGCGGTGAGCGAGAATCGAACGCGGGTAGCCCGGTTCGCTAAACACACTAGGCTACCGCTCCCTATACACAACAATATAATTTCCGTCGTGGAGAATATAACAAATACGCAATTTCGCCTTCATTTATTTTTTGGTGAATTCGAACTAGGACTCACAACCAAGGTTACCATTGGTCGCGAAAGCCTGCGTGTTAAATCGATATAGGACCCCTATAGTAAAGAGACAGGTTCCTTACCTATACGATGGGCAGTTCGCCAACATTGAGTCATGCAAGCCTGTGGCTTTGCTGGTGCGCCAGTGCTCAGAGTTCATATTCCTATGACAGGGGCAGCACACACGTGGTTAAAATGCAAACACCTGTATTATGGATGCAATCGTGTAAATTAAATTTTCCGCTAGTTCTTGCACAGCGATGATGTCACTGACCCCACCTCGTGTAGACATGGGTGAAAAGGAGTTTCATAGATCATTGGATTCCTTGAGGTAATATTCTGAATCTGTAATCTCAAATTTCACATCGGGTAAAGTCTACCATGGTGTCACTCTCATATCCGAGTCCTTTCCACTTCAAGCCAAAATCACGTGACGTCATTTATGGACGGCCCCTTAGTAAAAAAAAAGAGCTTAATAGCTCATCGGATTTCTCCAGGATAAATATTGAGATTCTGACCTTGTTGCAAAGTGACCCCACCCCCCTCCGCCCCCTCTCCAGCCCCCCCCCCCTCTCTCTGGCCCCCCCTCTCCAGGCCCCCCCCTCTCCAGCCCCTCCCCCCTCTCCAGCCCCCCGCCTCTCAAGGCCCCCCCCTCCGCCCCCCCTCTCCGCCCCCCCCTCTCCACCCCCCCCTCTCCAGGCCCCCCCTTTCCAGCCCCCCCCCTCTCCGCTCCCCCCTCTCCGCCCCCCCCTCTCCAGGCCCCCCCCCTCTCCGCCCCCCCCTCTCCAGGCCCCCCCCCTCTCCGCCCCCCCCTCTCCAGGCCCCCCCCCTCTCCGCCCCCCCCTCTCCGCCCCCCCCTCTCCAGGCCCCCCCCTCTCCGCCCCCCCCTCTCCAGGCCCCCCCCCTCTCCGCCCCCCCCTCTCCAGCCCCCCCCCCCCTCTCCGCCCCCCCCTCTCCAGGCCCCCCCCCCAGGCCCCACCCCCCGGACCCCCCCCTCCTCCCCCACCCGTGGCCCAAACGACCTCCAAAACAAAAAAAACATTGAACCCCAAGAATCTGAACCCTCCCCCCCACCCCCGCGCGGGTGACGTCACTCGCACGGAACCCCCGCGCGTGACGTTCGAGCCAAACCCCGCGAGCACGTGATCGCCGCTCGACCAATGGCGACCCTTGGCCCCCGCCCACGACGGCGTGACGTAGCCGCGGGAAATCCTCCTCGCCCGCCACGTGGTTCCGGCGGGGTCAGCTGCGCTTAATTTTTTTGTGTGTGTGGGGACCCCTTTACAACAACAGAACAATTTGATTTTTTGTACGCAACGTTTCTTGTGTTCTTCTCCTTTAAAAAAAACAACACCACCTTTGCACCGCTATCAAATCGCACGTTTAGTCGTGTAAACACACAAAAATGGACGGCCTACTGGCCGACGGCAAGACGCTGGCTGCTGCGGGAGTTGCCGGTGCCGGCGTGGGCATTGCCGCCGGGATGCTGTACAGATTTGCGAAACGGTATGGCACTGGGGTTTTTGCCTTGTGTGTGCTTGTCCGTGCACTCACCTCTCTTGCTGTGTGGGGGGACACTCACGCACACACACACACACACTGCTGTGTTTATACTGCTAAGCCCGCTGGTCGGTGTTTAAGATGTTAAGGATAGACGTCCTTGCTCTGTAAAGCGCTGCTGCTTTTGTAAGGGAGGCATCGCAGCGACGGTAGCGCTCCGCTTGCGACTGACGCGGTTGTCTTTGACTTGAACCCATCCCCGATGTGACACCGTAGGAGTTGTGCTTGGCCTCTCTGCTTCTCTAACACGAGCCACGCGGAGCAGGACGAAGCGTCTGTGTGCTCGCCGCACTCTCGACTACAGCAGCAGCAGCAGTGTGGGGGACGCTGTCTCGCCGCGTGTGCCCTCCTTTCCCTTTGTCAATTGAGTTCAGCAACACTGCGCTTGTGCTCTTGCAATCGCTTCCGTGCAAGATGCAGTTTAATCACCCGGGTCTGCCCCTCCCCGTGACCTGCCCCCCCTCCCGTGACCTGCTCACCCCCCCGTGACCTGCCCCCCCCGTGACCTGCCCCCCCGGTGACCTGCCCCCCCGCCCCGTGACCTGCCCCCCCCCCCGTGTGTTGCAGTCGAAACGTCGTGAGAATTTTTTTATGTTTTATATTTGTATTATTTTATTATTTCCCTTCTACGTGACTTTACCGAAAGAACCAAGAATATGAATCCCTGCAGTCACGAAAGCTTGAAATCAAAATTTCACTCACTGTTGTCGTTGTGGTATCTTCAAATATTGTAACTAAATTTTAACCTACTTCCCAATGTGATATCGACTGCAAACTTGGTATACTTATGCCATACTAATGACAATACTATATTCTATCATTAAAAATAAAAAAATATATTTTTAAACAATCTTTTTACATGCTTTCTATTAACTCTGTTGTTGTATCCTCAAATCTTGTAACTCAATTTTAACCCACTTCCCAATGTGGTATCGACTGCAAACTTGCTATACTTATGTCATACTGATGACAATACAATATTCTATCATTAAAAATAAAAAATATATTTTTAAACAATCTTTTTACATGCTTTCTATTAACTCTGTTGCTGTATCCTCAAATCTTGTAACTAAATTGTAACCCACTTCCCAATGTGGTATCGACTGCAAACTTGGTATACTTATGCCATACTGATGACAATACCATATTCTATCCTAAAAATATACATTTTAAACCATCTTTCTTATATGTTATGTTTCGGCTTGAGTCTAATTGTCCACGCTCAACTCACGTTGGCTGTAATTGGCCACGGTCCATTACGTTATGGCAAGCTTCGGGGCCACATGCTGGAGTCGTGGAGTTTTTCCATTACTAGTACGGTACATCTTCTTGGTTCTTTCGGTAAAGTCACGTAGACGGAAAATAATAAAATAATAAAAAGAAAACATAATAAAATAATTCTCACGACGTTTCGGCCACAACGCAAGCAGCCGTCTTCAGGTGGAGAACGTGTCTGTCGACTGTCTCTCGACTCTGTCTCTCGACAGACCTGTTCTCCACCTGAAGACGGCTGCTTGCGTTGTGGCCGAAACGTCGTGAGAATTATTTTATTAGGTTTTATTTTTATTATTTTATTATTTCCATTCTACGTGACTTTACCGAAAGAACCAAGAAGATGAATCCCTGCAGTCACGAAAGCTTTAAATCGAAATAGTACGGTACATTTCATTAAAGCGTGTTTAATTTTTTTTTTTAATATTACTTATTTCGTGCAAGATGCGGTCTAATCACGAATGGAGTGTGTGCAATTTACACGTTGAACAGTTTGTGTGTGCAATTACACCGCTGTAGCATATTGCACGTGGCTATAACGAGTCGATGGTGGTGTCAGCGTGGGGAGGCAGACGATCAGCAGTCAACGTTTAAAGGGCCCCATGTGCGTCTCGCGTTGTGTGTCAAATTGTCGTTCATGTTGCTGAAACCCAAACTTGAAGCAGATGCCTTGCATCGCACACTCAAGTTTAGCGCACGTGGATGATAACGCCTGCACAGTGTATACACTGAAGGTAAAATGACTGACTATTTATACTCTTAGGTTTTTTTCGGTAAAGTCACGTAGGTAAAAATAAAAAAAGTAATAAAAGTAATATAAATAATAATAGAAATAAAATAAAAGATTTTAGTGATTTATTATTTTATTTCTATTATTATTTCTATTGTTTTTATTATTCATTTTTATTTTTACCTACGTGACTTTACCGAAAAAACCTTAGAGTATGAATCCTTGCAGTCACGAAAGCTTCAAATCTAGAATTGACTATTTATACCTTGTGTGTGTAAGTGGAACTGTAGCTGGGAAAGGGCATTGCGCTACGAACCCGGCGACCTGTGGCGATTACCTGAACCGGCCTCCCCCTAGGTCGACTCAGCCTCAAGTGCGGTGTGTAAACATCGTCACTGTGGAGACAAAGGCGGCCGGGCGTGGTGTTGGCCACCCTCGCTCCCCTGGTGTGTCGTGCCGGCCTTCATAGGTGCTAGTGAACAGCACTTGCCCCAACAGTCTGTTGAGGCTGTACGGGTTGGGGATCCTTTGTCTTTGTATATGTTTACATATAAAGGTATGTCATATAAATTGAATGTTATATCGAGTATATAAGTGTATGTATACAGTATATGTGTTATACAGTTGAAGAATGTGTCGTTCAGCTTGTAAGTAGCAGGGTCAGCTGTTGTGCAGTTGTTGGTAACAGCTGCAAGGGCCTTGGTGGGCCAAATACCGTCAGTGGTTTGCTCATGATGTCATTTTAATACACAGTTGTGTGTGTGGGTGTGTGTAGTCTTGGTTCTTTTGGTAAAGTCACGTAAATAGAAAACAAATGTAAAAAAAAGGATATTTTTATTATTACAATTTTATGTTATCATTTTTATTAAATTTTTAAAAACATTTTACGCGAGTTTACCCAAAGAACCAAGAATATGAATTCCTGCAGTCACGAAAGTTTAAAGTCAAAATTTGGGTGTGTGTGTATATATATTTAAGTCCACTGATTATCATCATCAGCCTTGATCAATCCACTGCTGAATGAAGGCCTCGCCAAGCAGTGACCACTTGATAAAACTGCCCTGCACAGATGTCTCGACACACTCTGCGCCATCTCAAAAAAACAGCGCAGCCGTTGGCAGCAGGGCATGACGTGTCCACCGTGTTGACGATGGCACTGCGGTCGAGGCGAATGATGAAGTGGCAGCCAAAGGTGGGAAACACGCGTCGAGAGTTAGGAAGGGCTCAACGTGGAGATGGAGCGGTGAGATCGGCGCGCGTTGCGGGAGCTCGATGGATTATGGAATCGCCGGACTGTGGGGGATGGAAACGGTTCAGCGATGCCACCATCCAGTAGTGGATTGATCATGGCTGATGATTGGCAGTTCATTAGACGTGAGTTTCAAGGTACTGGGACATTTCTACTGCCTGTTAGTCTTTTGACATTGAGGGCAATGAGATTCACCAACCAACATGGCAACGGTACAGCAGCAATGGGTGGCAATACTGTTAGCAAGCCAAATGTAATAATGGCTTTAGTTAGAATCGCGCAGTCACCTTTTCTGCCTCTTTGGGCTCTCCACGGGCAACGCAGTGCTAAAAAGGAAAGCGCTTGGGAGGATTTTGCAGACTGGGTCGATAGCGTAGTGGTTAATGCACTTCACCACGAGCCCGTCGCATTTATTCAATTCCTGGCCCCAGCTCTCGTCACTGGCGAATGATATCTAGCACTCGCTAGCGTGATGATGAAGTACCGTAAACCTTTTTAAATTTGACACATACGGGGCTCTGGCCTTGCCGAATTATCCAATATTCCCGAATTATGTACGATGGTATACTCCCCAGTGCCTCCTGCAGCAATATTATTTTTTCTTCCAAATTTGCTTTACAAAAATTATTTTCCAAAAAAAGTAACAGGTTACCATCAGTAACTGGCACTGCAGGTGAAGGAGGAGGATTTGGTGGGTTCCATATGGTAGATGAAAGAGGTTGTGGAGGGGGGCGCTGAATGCACTTAGTATTCACTTACTGTACTGAATGTTCAGTTTATCACTACATTATAGCTTAACTAGCAAAATTACACTAACTTGAACTTCACATTTTTCACTTACCAATTAATGTTTACTTAAAGACTACATTGTTTTACACTCTAACACCACGTTGCTCGCTCTCAGATGACTTCAGCTGATGTGGCACTTACCTGCTGACAGAGTTATCTATGGAAGGATATCCAGAGACTGAATTGCACTGCACTGGAGGCTTCACTGCTCGTAGAATGCAGCTTACAGCTGAGTGCTTGTGACATGGGTTTAAAGAAGTCAGAGATTTTTTCCCTTGTTTGTAATTATTTGTCAATGCTGTGCAACAGGTCTGCACTAACGCTCGCCACGCACGCGCACCGCCGTCAGATCGAGTCATTGTTTTGGTCGTGGCCGCGCGGCGTCGCTCCACGTGCATTGCCGAAATTGGACCATTCGGTACGGCAATTCGGCTAGTGGCGAATTACTAATACTGTAGATATGCCAAAAGCGCAGCCGTGCCGAATTATCCCCGATTACGAATGATCAGATACCGAAATAACGAGGTTTTACTGTATGGTAAAAAAAAACATGATGGTCACGGCATGTGTAGAGGGGAGGCCTTTACCCAGCAGTACATTTACAAAAGGGCTTCACGTCAAGATCGGTGTGCACTTGGTTGCTTGTCCGGTCATATACGTCGCAACAGGGCAATTTATGTACTTTCAGATGCGCTTCTGCGGCTGTCTGGAATGCTCTTCCTTCCTACAGGCAGCCGCTAGAGCTATGCACTTGGAAATCATCTCGATTGTAAACTCACTTCTTTAGAACTGCTTTTTTGTCTGGAGTTTGTTGTCCTTCCCCCGTACCTCCGATTAGCACGGTCGGCTACGTACGGTGCCAATTAAGTTCAACATATGAAGAAATTGGAATGCATGGATTGTAGCACACACGCACGTTAGCGGCATCCTCTTCACTGTTGAGAAAAATAAGTGGTTCTAGATTTGAAACTTTCGTGACTGCAAGGATTCATACTCTTAGGTTTTTTTCGGTAGAGTCACGTAGGTAAAAAATGAAAATTAATAAAAGTCGTGATTTTTATTTTATTTTACTTTTATTAATTTTAATTTTTTACCTACGTGACTTTACCGAAAAAACCTAAGAGTAAGAATAAGTGGGCACGGGCAGGGCACGTTATGGCTAGAAGGTGTGATCGCCGGTGGTCAAAACTGATGTCGGATTTCTAGCCCAACTGTAAGGGGGCCTTGGGGCAAATCATCCGGGAGCGATGAAATCAGCTCCTTTTTCAGGTTCTGAATGGATTGCTACATCTCAGGACCGTGAGAGATGGTGATGGCTTGGGGAGGCCTTCACCCAGCACTGGCACTCAGCGGTGGATTGTTAGTGGCTCGTGACGAGAGTCAGGGCATGTGTTGGTGCTATTTAGGGATAGAGGAATTGTCTATCTTTAATCTGCACAGTTCTGCTGGCTGCCTGTTTATAAGTGCGTTGGTGTGAATGGGTTGGGGGTTATGACACATGGATACAGCACTGTAATGAGTTCTCACACTGGCACAAGCGAGTGTTTATACATATACATGCACATGCGTTTGTGCCAGTTGCTGAGTCACTACCGCCACACTGACGTTATTGGTTCTCGGCGTGAGGATCGGACTTGTTGATTCTTCGCGCCATTTGCTTTGTGACGCCAAATATTATCAATTCAGGTGCCAGCTTCTGCACTGCACTCTGTTGACAACGTAAACCCCGCAGTCGCCTATAACACCTCTTTTATGCATGGCAATCGCCCATCCAAGCACCGTGCAGGCTCAACGCTGAACGCTGCTTAGCTCCACATATGCATGTAAGCCACACCACCTCGTCATAATAATAGGCTCAGTCAACCATTCTACACAACAAAGACTCATTTCCTGGCAGCGATTTCAGCCAGCATCATCTCTACATAACAAAAAGGCTCAGTCCCTTTTACATGCACATTTACATAATCCGCACCTAGTTTACACAACAAAGGCTCATTCCTAACAGCGCGCTTCAGCCGCACCGAACCTCACAAAAATATATTCAGTGCCTACCTTAGCTCCTCCCACCCTCAACCAGTATATATACAAGGACGGTTTTCTTGGAATTTCTCTCACTTGATACAGCTATCGTGCTGTGACTGTTCCACCTGAAGACGGAAGCTTGTGTTGCCTCCGAAATGTCGTGATTTTTTATTTATTTTACTTTTATTAATTTAAAATTTTTACCTACGTGACTTTACCGAAAAAACCTAAGGATATGAATCCTTGCAGTCACGAAAGCTTAACATCTAGAAGGAATAAATATATGCATGTATGTTTAACTTTTTGTTATACCGTACGTAGCCAACCGTGCTTTTCGGAGGTGCGGGTGAAAGACAAATAAATATGATGTTATGAGTTTGGTGGATTCTGGGCGATTTAGTCGTAGGCCATCTATGCCCCCCGTCTTAACCAAGTTGCACTGCCCAGCATAGGTGGTTGTGGTCAATTAACCTCCACGACCTGCAGGGCATGGTGAGGCCCTCATCCAGCGGTGGATTCGGCAGAAGGAAGGGCTGTACGTGGACACATTAAGCAGCGTTGTACACTGCGGTGATGGATGGTCGTACTCTCGTAACGGTGGACGTTTCTTTCGACCGCAGCAAACCCAAGAACGTGCTTGTCAACTGTTGGTTTTGCAACGAGAATACGACGGTTCCGTACGGGAATCAGAATTGCTGGGACTGCCCCCACTGCGAGCAGTACAACGGATTTAGAGAGGTATGGCAACCACCCTTGCGCATCTTCCTTTAAAGCAAACACTCCATCGTCGCTTGTTTTGGGCCCTGCACTCACAACCCACCCATCGGCTCTCAGTCTCATGTCGCTAACAGGGTGCTGCGGTGGCGAGATGTTAACTCCCTCGCCTGACATACAGGACGTCATGGGTTCCATTGCGACTCAATTCCTGCTGTATATTTGGAGTTTGCATGTTCTCTCCGTGGTCGCATGTATTTCTCTCTGGGTTCTCCCGTTTTACCCTCCACATTTAGAAACATCCTTATAGACTACTGGCCGCGATACATTTCCACGTGATAAGCCACTTCGTTGAGCTGTCATTTGTGGCCAGGTCGCTTCTGAAAAAGAGCTGTATTGCTCAGTGGGCCTCACCTGGTAAAATAAAAATAGTTTAACTTACCGTTGATTAGTTTACCCTCTTTTGAACCTTGCATAATCTGGTGAAAGTGCCTAAAATAAATGTTGTATGCTTGCCAGTAGGCCAGCTTAAACACATTTTATTTGTATGTTGGAAGATAGAAACGACGTCTGTCGATATTAGTTACTGCCCATGATGCGCCACAGCAACGCGTGTTGTGTTTGTGTACAATTTCTGCTTTTTGCATTGAACAGGGCCACATTGTTCATAGAGAGCACTCTTCCAAAAAATACCTGGAAACCGAGCAAGTTTTTTCCCATAAAAGCGACTGCTGATGAGGCGGAGAAGGTCGGCAAGCAGTGTAGAGTTTTCTCACTTGAACAGGAATCTGCTGAATAGCATTTGTCCGAAGACAGTTCTAACAACGGAGGTCCGTTAAATGTAGGCGGTATTCAATGGACCACCATTACAATGCATTCCTGGATACCCCTTTGTAAATCGGGACCCTATTTTCCAACAGATAGTAGGAACCGTCGAAACATCACTCGCCGATGTGTGTTTCCTTATATCGTCCGTATTTTACAGGGTTGAATCGGCAACAAAATCCACAACAAACACTTAAGAATAACAAAAGCTGCGCCCCAAGTCACATCGGAAACCAGACTGCGTTTGGAGTCATGACGGAAGATGCGTCGTAAACCAAGTTTGTGCGTCGCAAACCAATCCGCGATGGCATCTGAAAAAAAAAAATAGCTTTACACCTCATCGGATTTCTCCAGTAGAAATAAATATTCTAATTCTGATATAAACATCGTGAATGTAGACCGTCGTGAATCAGACCGTCGTAACCCAGGGACCGCCCGTTATAAATTAACTCGGCATGCAAACCGTCGCCCCGCTGCTCGTACCTCCGTCGTCACCCTTCTTAATTTTTGCCCGCCGCTATGTCCTGGGGCGTGACTTTCTTGAGGACGGTGACTACAACAAGCCGATACCCGCGCAGCACTCGGAGTACCTGAACCACGGCACGCCCACCGGCGGGGCCTGGGAGGCCACGCGCTCCTCCGGCGGGGCGGGCGCCGGCAGCAGTGGCTCCGTGGTGCAGCAGTGGGTGAGCAGCCGCCACCTGCTGTGCAGGCGTTGCGCTACCAACCAACAGCTCAAGATCCGCCAGATCGCCAACTTCACCCCGCGCAGCGAGGTACCCGTGATTTTCCGTGTGGTCGCGCGTCCCCCACCCCCCCACCCCCCCAAGCCACCCCCTCCTGCGGCCGATGTAAACTTTGGCGAGATGTTAACTCCCTCGCCTGAAATACAGGACGTCATGGGTTCAATTCCGAGCCAATGCCTGCTGCATAATTGAAGTTTGCATGTCTCTCTCCCCGTGGTCGCGTGGATTTTTCTCCGGGTACTCCGGTTTTTCCCTCGACATTTAGAAACATGTGTTTTTAGGGTATTTTGTCTGCAAAAAATGTCCACGTGCTGATAAGCCACTTCTTTGCGCTATCATTTGTGGACAGGTCGCTTCTGACAGAATTGCGATATAGCTCAGCGGGACCTTACCTGGTAAAATAAAAATAGCTTAGTTTGTGTTTGTCTTGGCTTTTTTGTTTGTGGGTAACCTTTTATCGCGGTCCGTTCAGGCCACAGGAGGGCAGCACAGTCACAGATATCCCCATAACCTGAATCGCACGTTCGGTACTCTGCGCAGGTGCAAAATATTAATTACGCTGTCCTTAAATTCAAACAGCACACCCGAACATTGCTGCTACCATCTCTTCTCAAAATGTATGTACTGACAGATGTAATACGTAAGGAATCAGGTAGACACATTGGTATAGAGGTTCTGTGCTGTGTGTGTTTGTGTGTGCCTGATGGTGGGGAGGGGTGGCGCAGTGGTTAGCACGCTGGCTATGAAGCTGTCGACCCGGGTTCGATTCCCGTTCACGGCCAACACCAGTGACGTTTATCTGAACCAGTAGTGGGCCTCCCCTAGGTCGACTCAGCCTGAAATTAGTACCTGGTGTGGTGTGTAAACATCGCCACTGGTGAGACAAAGGCGGTCGGGCGTGTTTTTGGCCACCCAGCCCCTCGTGTGCCGTGTGGGCCTTCATAGGTGCTGCTCGCTAATAGCATTTGTCCCAAAAGCCTGTGAAGGCTATCCGGGGGATCTTTGTCTTTTTATGCCTGATGGTAGGCACATAATGTTACAGTGATTTGTCGATCAAATCTATTTTTGCGCCCGCGATGCGCGTAATTGAGCCATGCTGCGCATGAATCGATTGTTTACAGTGTATACAAATTACATACAAAAGGTAGGAAGCATGTCCAAGAGCACATCCACCGCAGAGATGGAGCGATGAAATTATCTGTGTGCGGTTGCCCGGCTGAGCGTTGCATCGTGGGACCGTCTCATCCACGGTGTGTTCGACTCGCATGCTGTCGGTGACAACAACCCACCCACCCGCTCACCTGCTCACTCTCCACACTGCAGTCACAACACTTCTTATTCTGCTTCTCTCCTCTCCTCGCACTGGTCCACGTTGGGAATGCCTTCCACATCCGTCTCTTGCCCCACGTTCTTATTACCTTGATCAGATACGAAAACAAATACAAAACCAACTGCTTCTTGGTTCTTTCGGTAAAGTCACGTAGAAGGAAAATAATAAAATAATAAAAAATAATGAAATTTAAACATAATAAAATAAAACATAATAAAATAAAACATAATAAAAATAAAATATTTAATAATGTTTTATTTTTATTATTTTATTATTTTCCTTCTACGTGACTTTACCGAAAGAACCAAGAAGATGAATCCCTGCAGTCACGAAAGCTTTAAATTCGAAATAAAACCAACTGCGTTGACTCTTATCTGTTTTACCTTTGCGAGTTCTCGTTGCTGCATGCCGCTTGATGCTTTGAGCCTTTTGGGTTTTAGGGTCATAGGGCCCAAAGGCTCAACAACTGTGATAAAGACAAAAACAAACCCTCCTGGAATGAAACATTTTACCGCAATATCTTGTTATTCGCGTCAAGGAGCATAAACCACCACCATGCACACTCCGGTCATCCTCGCGGCAGTTTTTGCCGAGTCCTCAAACAAAGACGGTCACCGCATCGCTTGCTTTCAGATGCGCTTCTGCGGCCGTCTGGAACGCTCTTCCTTCCGATATTAGGAAAAAAACTGGAGCTATACACTTTTAAATCATTTAGATTGAAAATGTAATTTCTTGAGAACTGCTTTTTGTGTTTGGTTTGTTGTCCTTCCTCTGCACCTCCAATTAGCACAGTTGGCTACGTACGGTGCGAAAGAATTTCAACATAAAACACTGGGATGTGCTCAGCGGCCTGTAAACGTTGTCGCATTTTTGTAGGAGTACTCAGTGGCATTGGCAGATTATCAACACTCTCCTCCTCCTCCGCCACCACACCAGGCCATCCCGCCTAAGGATGGGCGAGGCCTTAGTGGGGTGAGTGTGAGGTTCATGGGCCCATTTCCCTGCTGTATCTTATCGACCCCCGTTCTCTCGCTGCAACAACTATTTATATTTTCTCTTACAACCAAGGCTGTGCGCAAGCAAGTGGGGGGGGGGGGGGGCTTGTGATTTTTTCTGGTTCTGTCAATTAGGCTGCAATGCCACCATTTTCAAGGTCTCTTTTGTGGCTTTGCGAGCTATAGGAATTTTTTTTGCAACAGGAAAAAACCCTCCACTGCACGTGTGAAATCGTTACGAGCGAAACGCACGAGCGAGCCAGACTCGCGGCGCGAGCAAGCCAATAGTGGGAATGTGCCATTTCCGCTGGCGGTGACGAAAGATGACGCGATTTATATTCGTTTAGTGATTTAAATACGTGTGCACACCACTCTGTGCCGCTTATGACCAAATCGTCCCTGAGAATGTGTGTTGAACTTCTTTTGCACCGTACGTCGCCAGAGCGTGCTGATCGGAGGTGCGGGGGAGGGACCACAGACGAAACACAAAAAGCTATTCTAAAGAAAGGAGTTTTCAATCTATATTTAAAAGTGCTTAGCTCCAGTCGCTTCCTCGTATCGCAAGGAAGAATGTTCCAGACGGCCGCATATCGCACCACTTGCCAGAAGCTAAACAGTCTGGATAGTCTCTACATCATTAGGCCTCCTTTCCTTTGCCAGTACCAAAATATAATAATAGGTTTTTTTCCCTTTGTTCTGGCAAAAGGCCTTTTGGCATCCGCTGGTCTAGCACCAATTGAGACGAGGCTCAAAAGAAAGCCGTCTCTGGTGTGGACCAATCAGTTTCAAGGACAATAATGCATATATTATCAGTGTGTTTTTTGTTTGCATTTTGATCACAAGTATTGTGGTTAATGAACACATGATTCCTTGTAAAGAGGTTTAAGTTTTGTTGACAGAACAAACGGGAAACCCTTATTATTATAGTCTGGATAATGCTTGGATGGGCGACTAATGTGCGCAGAAGGTTGTTATAGGCTGCTGCCACATTTCAGCAAACACATTGCACAGTCAGTTTAACACGTAGGCTTTCGCGACCAATATTATTAATAATCAACGTTTTTGGGTTTAGATCGCGTTATTTATAAATGTGTCGTAACCCTCCACCACCCGACGCGGCCAATCAGCATCCAGCATCATCGGGCAATTCGCCAGAATTCTGGCGAATTGCCCGATGATGCTGGATGCAATTACCAGCGAAACATCGTACTCAAAAATTGTAAATGTTGTGGTTTCACGCTTCAACACACCGGTGGGCTAAAGCAGTGAACTATTTGTCTTTTGTCAACATGACACTTTTTTTGCTGATTGGCCGTGTCGGGTGGTGGAGGGTTACGACACATTTCTAAATAACGCGATCTAAACCCAAAAACGTTGATTATGAACATTGCACAGTACTTTCATGCTGCCACATTTAAGTTTTCCGCGTTCACCGACCGCGTGATGCGGGGTCGCGATTCGATTTATGTTTGTCTCTTCTGTACATTTTTGTTCAATCCTTCAACCTAAATGTTACGTCCACAACATGATATGCGAACATTTTTAATAATCGATTCTCTCAATAATCAATTTTAATCAGGCATTTGTAATTAAATCGATTAACATTGCTCCTTACGCACTGCATGCGTGCATTTAACCCTTTCCTTTTCTGAGACGCCTGCAAGTTGTACGGTAGGACCCAATCACCGCTGCATTTTGGAAAGAGCAACTGGCTAGCGGTAGTTTTATTCATAGGGGCATAGCGCCGTTGTTTTTTTTAAGACAATTGTACTCTCCGCAGAGCACCGTAGTGACACGACCGCTCTCTATGATAGCTGGCGCCAAACTGTGCCTGCACTCCCTCCCCCATGGCCTTGTGGGAGCCTCGGTACGCGCTCCGACCTGAAGACGTACCGACAAAGATATTCTATTCTCGTTTTTCTTCCGATTTCGTTTGCTGTGTGAGAACATTATTTCCTGTTGTCTCCGTTGTCCATCTGTGGCTCGCGTTACCTCTGCAGCCATTAGGGGCGCCACAATTCACCTTCGTCGGCCATGCTTGAGTCATCCCTGCGGCAGAGGTCGCAATCGGGTACCCGATACCCGTACCCTACCCGATACCCGGCTACCCGTACCCGGCCGGGTACGGGTACGGGTACCCGTTTGCGACCCTGGTGCGGCCGGGTATGGGTACGGGTAGGCCGTAGGTCACTGGTGAGTAACCGTTTGTCACTCATTTCCCAACGTCTTGTCTCTTCTCACAATTCAATTTCCTAGAATCAACCCACCCGCGCCTGCAACATGGCTTCATCCCAGAGGTCGCACTCGGGTACCCGTACCCGTACCCTACCCGATACCCGGCCGGGTACGGGTAGCCGGGTATCGGGTAGGGTACGGGTACCCGTTTGCGACCCTGGTGTGGCCGGGTACGGGTAAGGAATCAAAACCCGTTTGCGACCTCTGCCCTGCGGGGATGAAGGCCTCCCCAATCCGCCACCAACTTCCACAGTGCTGCCATGTAATCCAGCCGTCTCCTGCACACAGGCCAATTGCTTCGCTCCATCTCCTCGATACGGGTCCTCTCGGACGCGTTCCGTTCCTCGGCTGGCATTCCGTCGTTATTGTCTTAACAACGCGAAATAGGTCATTAGCATGCGTACGGTGTAGAATCCATGCATTTCCCTCTTAGTCTCTTAGCGTGAATTCCTGGCATGCATCTCTTCACACTTTGGTGCGTACTTAAAGTCCCCAACCCCCCCCCCCCCCTCCGTTGTCTTCATTAATGATTGTGTTTGCTTCGCAGACATCGCGCTACTAATTACAACCGATGCCCGTCATATATTTTATTACGACTCTTCATTCACCATGATTACGAATAAAATAAAAACCCCGCAAGAATCGAATCTTGGATTCGAATCGTGGCCTCGAACCGTTACAAGCTATCGAATCGGGAGGGGGGGTGGGGATCATATGGTACAAACCGTTGCCACAACTAATTTGTCACGCTTCAGCCTCACAGCAGGAAGCACCTCGGCTTTGATTCCACACTCGGCCACCTTTCAGCATTGCTTTCGTACATAAAAGTAATCATCGACAAATGCATTAGTCATCGTTAACACGACCACCCCACCCCTCGCCTTCCCCCCCGCCCCCCGCCGCAGGACTCTTACGATGACGAGGTGGAGCTGTACCGCCACCACCTGGAGCAGACGTACCGCCTGTGCCGCCCGTGCCAGACGGCCGTCGAGTGCTACATCCGGCACCAGGACCGGCAGATCCGCACGCGCATGCTGGACCTGCATGCGCGGCAGGCGCCGCTGGGTCGCTACGCCGACAAGGCGAGACCCCACACCCCCCCACGCCCACAAGCGTCCCACGAGAAGTCGCTGAGGAAAGTAGCGCGGGACATTGGGTGTCGCTGGCGGCGCGATGCTCGGCTAGCCCAGGCCCCGTACCCCCCCCCCAACCACCCCCCCCCCCGATAAAGCCTTGACGCATGGCCCGTACCGCACATTCGATCCTCTCTCGTTCGAGCAGATGTCGGTTGGTTCTTTCGTTGGATCGTCACATTTGTTAATTTATTTAAAATGTGCCTTGAACAGGGAAGGGTTGACTCTCTAGTATACGGGGGTTCTTCAGTTTCCTGCTCATTAATGGCATTGGCCAAATATCTCAATTGCAGGACTCTTCTGAAATGGGAGGGGGGAGGGGGGGAGTAGAAAAATAAAGTTTTGAGACTCAATGAGGCTTTTCCTGGCTAGACAAATGGCATTCAATAATTATCAACTTTCCTTCCCCGAGCCTCCCAGCCAACGAGAACGCACGGCCGATTTCGCCGCACGGTGACGATTATTCCCATCTTCTTGGTTCTTTCGGTAAAGTCACGTAGAAGGGAAATAATAAATAATAAAAATAAAACATAATAAAATACAATTCTCACGACGTTTCGGCCACAACGCAAGCAGCCGTCCTCAGGTGAAGAACAGACGCTGTCTTTCCCTTCTGCGTGACTTTACCGAAAGAACCAAGAAGATGAATCCCTGCAGTCACGAAAGTTTTAAATCGAGATTATCCCCGTGTCGCCGTTGCCGCCCTCCGCAGCTGTCGCCAGCAGCAGTTCTCCGCCCGGCTGCCCAAGAAGGTGGTGCTGCTGCGCGTGCTGGCCTTCGCCTGCTGCGCCGCGCTGGTCGCTACGGCGGTGCTGAGCGGCGGCACCGGCGGCAGCCAGGACGCCGCGGCTGGCGTGCGGAGGTCCCCGAGCGTTCCGCCCGGGCCGCCCGTCGCCACGAATCAGGTGGGGGGGCTTCCCCCGCGCAACGGCACGGGTCCCGCGCGGCGAGCAGGCTCCGGGCGGTGGCACCGGGACAGGCGCCGGCGCTGGTACTGGCGCTGGCACCGCGACTGGCACCGCGACCGCCTCCCTCCTTGAGACTGTGCTGCTGTACATCCCGGTAATAGTTTTAATTAATCCGTTTGTTCATGTGCTTTATTTAAAACCCAGGAGAGAGCAGACCTGAGATCAATTGCAATTATAATTTCGTCAACGACATACATAAATTGCAGTGTAATTGTGATTGCAGTCTCGGCTAATGGTGGCTGGGTGGGTGAGTGAGTGGGTGGGTGGGTGAGTGGGTGGGTGGGTGACTTTGTGTCCGTGCTGTTGTGACCAGCAGTAGTGGTGGTTGAACAAAGTACAGACGAAACAGTCAGCCTGATAACCCGAGTCCTCGGCATGGGTGGTGAAGGAACCGATGGCTGACGTTCAAGTGAACCGTAACCCACAATAGGGAGTAGTGGCGATAAAACAGTGACAAGGAGGCGACTGCCCGCCGGGAGAGCGACTCGCTGGGGAGGGTCAGCTTGGCTAGCCGTGCGCTCGCGGTCACTTCAATCCTTCCGGGGGTGGGCGGGTGCCTGTGCCCGCAGGTGCCGGAGGGCGCCACCGAATTCCTGCACCACGCCTGGGGCCTCGGTGAGGATCACCGTCTGGGCCTTGCCTGCTGCGGCCTCTCTGCCTGCCTGCTCAGCGTGCTGCTCGCTGGCCGCCTCCGGTACAGTACGCTCACAACGCGCCCCCCCCCCCTCCCCGGGGGCTTTTGTTTTTTGTTGTTTTATTTTTAAATGTATTTTTTCTTACTTAGCAATTCCATGCCGTGGCTTAAATCCCGCGGCATCTGCAAGCACCTTGCGTCCGTCACGTCTCACCTCAAAATCTACTCGAAGGGGCACTTAACGTGATGCGCAATACTCGGAATAATTTTTGTACAAACCAAAAAAGCATGGGAAAAGTTCAAAATGAGCAGGGTAAAATCGTAGCGATGGGAAGAGGTGTGTTGTTCGTTTCGACAAAATGGTGACACGTCAATTCGTCGGTGAAGATTATCTTCTTGGTTCTTTCGGTAAAGTCACGTAGAAGGGAAGTAATAAAATAATAAAAATAAAACACAATAAAATAATTCTCACGACGTTTCGGCCACAACGCAAGCAGCCGTCCTCAGGTGAAAACCAGGTCCGTCGAGGCGACAGAGTCTGAATGATAACAGCACACGACTCTGTCGCCTCGACGGACCTGGTTTTCACCTGAGGACGGCTGCTTGCGTTGTGGCCGAAACGTCGTGAGAATTATTTTATTGTGTTTTATTTTTATTATTTTATTACTTCCCTTCTACGTGACTTTACCGAAAGAACCAAGAAGATGAATCCCTGCAGTCACGAAAGCTTTATAAAGGTGAAGATTATGTCGCTCAACCACGATGCACGGCGTCCTGTTGTGCACGAGAAGAAAAAGCTTGATTATTCTAATTATACGCGTGTGATATTTTGCAAACGTTGGGTTTACGGTCATGGAACGAATGTCACAATACTCACGCCAACTCATGAATACGAAGCGCATTAGCTGGACTTCCCAGGCCACTCAGTCGTGAAACTCATCGTTTACGTTTGGCGAGATATTAACTGCCTCGCCTGTTTAACACGTAGGTTTTCGCGACCAATATTATTCATAATATAGGTTTTTGGGTTAGTGCGGCCTGGAAGCGTATTATTAAATACATACAATTACAATTCCTTATAAGGGAAACAAATAGCAATGAATAACAATTGAATGATTACCAATCTATATAATTACAATACTATCCCCCTCTTTGCCTCGAATCACTGCACCAGATTGAATTAAATGATGACGTCACCCAGCTGCTGCTCTACTTAAGACCGGGAGCAACAGGAGAGCTTCACCATTCTTGCCCGATGAAGCTGATTGTAATTACCAGCGAAACGTCGTACTCAAGTTTTAACATGCTGTTGATTCTCTCTTCAACACACCGGTGGGCTAAAGAAGTGAATTATTTTGTCCTTTGAATAACGTGATACATTTTTACTGTTTGGCCGTGTCGGGTGGTGGAGGGTTACGACACATTTATAAATAACGCGATCTGACCTAAAAACCTATATTATGCCTCACCTGGTATACAGGGGGTTGTGGGTTCCATCCCGACCCTGACGACTATATATTTGGAGTTTGCATTTTCTCTCTCTATTCGTCGTCACATGGATTTTTCCTCCACATTTAGAAACATGCATTTATAGTATTTGGCTGCTATAAATTTCCCCATGATAAGCCACTTGAGTTATGATTAGTGAGCTGTATTGCTCAGTGGGCCTTATCTGGTGCAATAAAAAGTTACTTTCATATCTGTGTCAACACGCGCTGAAGTATAGAGCGGGTTTAGAAAAACAAGTAAAATAATGAGTAGATAAATCTGTCAGCGGAAATACCTGAAAAATGAAAATAGTTGAGCTCATATAAGCGTGCGGCGGTCAAATCCGCTTCGTTCTTGGCTTTGCTTTAACGCACCTGCTAGCATTTCCTTTTTTTTCCTTCGTCTCCTTGACGGCTCTTGAGAAATGCTGATGCGGCAGCCGCGGATAAAGTAGTTTGACCTTTGTCAGGTCATTGAGTGACTGAGAGACACGAGGAAGGCCAGAGGTGATGGGGCACGCGGAGTTGATGGGCTGAGACGGAGGAGCGAGTGACGGCTGAAAGCGGTGACTCGAGAATGATTATTTTGGATCGTCCCCCTTGGCCCTGCCGGGTTGTCCGTGTTTCCCTACGTGGAGGACAGCCGTCGTTGTGATCATCGCCGTCCTCAATCGGTGATCTACCTGCTAACACATGGGCTTTCACGACCAATGTTATTCATAATAAACGTTTTTTGGGTCGGATCGCGGAAACATCCACGTATTGTTTACACACCTCCACCCGACACAGCTGATTCGTAAGGTTTGTCACGTGAACAAAACGTGATAACATCACCTTGCTCTATTTAAGACCGGACACAGGAAGACGTGTACACAATTTTGGCATATCGCCTGACGAAGCTGGTTGTAATCGCCATCAAAATGTCATCGTGGAATTGTAAACGTTGTGGCTTTACTCTCCAACACGTCGGTGTGCTGAAGTAGTAACGAATTGGCACATTTTGTTCACGTGACAAACCTTACCTGTTGGCTGTGTTGGGTGGAGGTGGATTAACGACACATTTCTATTTACGTGCACTAACCCAAACACATTTATTTTGGATCTACGTGCTCTTACAGGTTTCAAATTCGCTTCCAGTTGTTCCGGTAAAGACGTATTGTAATTATGGCGGTGTAGTCAATTGCAAATTGTGCTGCCGGAATAAAAACACGTGGAGCAAACACGAGCGATGCGTTTCCGGGTTGTGCCGCGAAGCTGTTGGCCGTGATGTCCGACGTTTCGCTCCACGTGCTGGGAGCTTGTACAGGAAGTGAACTTCACTTGAAAAGAAATGCACTCCGCGAAGGAGCTTCCGGCGCGGACAGCGAAACATTGGACATCGTGCCGACCCGGCCAACACATCCGAGGGCTTTTCACATCGCAGCCACGAAAGCTTCCGCTGCAGCAAAGCTCAAAGCGCTGTGTCAGGCAGCGGGGATCATCTTCGAGGTCAGGGGTGGAGAGAAATATTATTTGGTTTGGCGTGCACAACTAAGGCGTGTGGCAATTTGTGAACAATGCGCCCAAGGACGGGATGATTTCGAGAGAGATTTTATTTTCTGGTCCCGCGACCGATCGCTCGGGCGCAGGCCCGGCTTTGAGTAGACCACCATTGACCACTAAAAGGGATCCAAAGGCGAGGGCGGGGGGGGGGGGGTCCTTTCAATTCACAGGCGGCCACTCGTGTGCCTGCGTGGCCCCGCGCTCGCCTGCCCGTTGAGAGACGCGAGCCCAACTGCGACTCGATGCGATGACCCGCGCCGCGTGGTGAGCGCCCGCCGCTGATTGCCAAGTTTAACCGGCGGAACTCCAAAAGATGTCCCCTCCCTCTTTTGGGGTGGGGGGACAGTCCACGCCGTTTGAAGACAATAGGCGTGGCTTTCTTTTCATCAAATCTGACATGCGTAGCGCTTGAGAGAGAGAGAGAGACGCCCTGAGAGAGCAGGCGGTTGTTACACTTGAGCGGCACGCATATCTGCGCTGCCCTCTGTACTGAAACGTAAGCCTTTTCTTCTAGGTGGGTGCTTTTACAGACAAGTGGGCAGAAAGGGATTTTTTTTCTTTTCCCTCCGCCAAAATGTAGAATGGCGACGGACGTATGCGTGCACGGGACGTTTTGTTCTGTGAGTGAGATTGAATGCCCGGGGGGAGGGGGGGGGGGGACCGGGTTTTCGGCTGCCTTTGACAAAATCGGTCGTTGAGAGAGACAAGAATGGAACTTAGAGAGATGTGTTTTTTGAGAATTTTGGCTTTCACTTCTGCACGTCATATTCATTGAGATTAATTATCCACGCAAAACTGTTTCATCTTGTTTGAATTTACTTTCACACAAAAAGCCTCGGTCATAGGGCACGTCAACGTCGTGAATATTTGGTTGTTCCTTGGATTGGGAATTTCGTTGTTGTTGAAGAATTAAAAGTTTAATTAGTGTCACGCTTACATCCAAGAGTGTCTCATTGTCAATCGGTCTGTCAGCCAGTCATGGCACTTGGTTGAGTATTGTTCAGCATATCGAGTCTGGTAATGGTTCGCTCTGAACACAACACTGGGGACCTATAGCATTGATTTCATGATGAGCTATGTGCAAGCTTTGACCTTTGAGCTTGAATGGAAAAAGCTAGATTTTTTTCCTTCAAATTTTTCACCTTGCTATTTACGATGTAAAATTGACTGGGTGTTGGTGGGAAAAGCCGTAATTAGGCAAAAAGTCACTTATGCTATGCGTGCACTTTTATCAACGTTTGTTGTTTAAAAATAAAATCCACCTCATCTTTACGGATGCGCTGGCATTGTTCCGTTCTTTATACTTCCTTGTTATTTTTATATATAGCTCGTTTCAAAATGTAGGTATTTCACAATTAAAGCGCTCTGGGTAAAGTTATGTACATTATGACGTACATGCCAGCGATAGGCAAAAAAAAGTATATCTAAGAGTACAAACAAAGCGTGAGTAAAATATTTTTGGAACGCTTGCTGAAAGCATTCACCCTCGTCAGTCACTGAACAAAATCAAGTTACGGAGAGCTACAAATTAAATGCGTCCGTTTTAGAGCGATAGCGTGCGCACGTACTGTACGTCTGTTTGACACCACCGTGTCAGAGATAAACATTTCAAAGTGATGGGCGATGTGGAGCAGTCCCCTGAGTTACGGAGCGGGTGGAGAACCCCGCCCCCCCCCCCCTTTTCATCGTCTTGTCAACAAGCGCACTTCGAACTGCACCCTGCTCTCGCCTCCCGTTGCAAAAGGAACCAGGCATAAGTGTGTGAGTGAGTGAGTGGGTAAGTTTATGTTTGTAAGCGCTTTGAGCTTCTTTCGCACTGTACGTTGCCAACCATGCTAATCGGAGGTGCGGGGGTGGGGGAAGGACAACAAGCTAAACGGCAACAACAAAAAGTGCACGACTGAGAAGTACGCGCGTGCCCGCCTGCTCGCGTGTGATCAAATCGCGAGGCGGGCGCCCAATCTCGTCTTCGGATCGCGGAAGCTAAGCAGGCTTCAGCCTGGGGGGGACCTGCGCTTGGACCGGGCGACG